CCGGCAGTGACAGTGTAACGGTGAGTGAAGTGGCTACTGTGGCTCAGAGAGAGGGTCATAATAATATGGTCAAGGAAGTGTGGGCTGAACTTAAAAAAGTTGGTGAGTTCCTCCAAAATCTGGGGCAGAGAATCGAGTCCATCGAGGCTAAATTAAACGTTCAGGAGGTCAAGGAAAATCACAAAACGGTGAAGGATAATCAGGATATAGTGGTTGAGGACAAAGATGAAATATTGAGTGATGAAATGAAGGAAAGTGAAGTGTGTGTGAATGATGGTAGTCGTAGTGAAAGGAAGAACCCTATAATTACACATAAAATGAAGGAATCATTTGGGCCAATAATGGACATCTCAGGGCTGAAAAAATCTCTTGAGAATCGCAATGTCGCTTTTACTGGTGAACTTGGGAGGAGGTGGGAGATGTTATACAAGGTATGGCTATCATTTAGTGAACTTATTGGGGATGACTTAGGCAATGAATTGATTAATAATGGATCACCCTAGACTGAAAGTGTTGTCATGGAATGTTAATGGTTTGAGAAACAGGGTTACAGATGTTCATTGTTATGTGATGGGAAATGATATTGATGTTGTAGCTCTCCAGGAGACAGGGGATAGGAATGAAGGATTATTGAAATTAAATGGCTATAAAGGGTTTCACCTCTTCGCTGCAAATAACATCAGAGGCACGTCGATTTATGTTAAGAACTCCATACCAGCAGAGTTAGTAGAACCGCCATCAAAAACGCAAGGTATAGAGAGTGTTTGTGTTAAATTATCATTAAGGGAAGGGGAATTTATTGTAGTTAATTTGTATGTATCCAGGAACTGCTTCGACGCTAACTATTTACCTGACTGCATTTATACTAATCCTTCACTGGTCATTGGGGACCTTAATGCTCGGCACACAAGCCTTGGGACAGTGGGTAGTATTAATGCTAATGGGGTCAAGTGGTTACAGTTTCTACAAGATCATCCAGATACCTGTCTATTGGGAAACAATGAACCAACTCACATCAAGGGAGGACGGCTTGACTATGCCTGCGTTTTAAACTCTCAGGGGATTATGGGGGAGGCTCGGGTTGTTCGGGAACTACTTAGTGACCACTTTGCCTTGAACGTTGAATTACCACTGGGGAAAAAACAAGTCCACTTTCAAAGGAAAAGGCTAAATATTAAGAAAGATATGAAAAATTATTTTATTCAAAATATGGGAGATTGGTATCAACATTACACGCCGCTCTGCGTTGATAGTTTTTACGAGGACATGGTCGTGAACATAGAGAAATTAGTACAGAGGGAAAATAACGGGGGCAGGGGAAGCAAGACGCACGGACCTAAGAAATTTAAATATTCCAATGATCAGCAAGTCAAGGGATGAGAGAGAATGCTACGGGGTGCGCATAAAGCATGGTTAAAAAATGGAAGGAGGGATGAAGAGAAAAATACAATGTTGGAAGTGGCTAGGGAATGCAGTCAGGTGAGGAAGGAGGCGCGGGACAGATACTGGCAAGACTTTGCTCAGGCCATTGGTAATACTAAGAACCTTAAAGACATATGGAGAGCAGTAAATAAAGTCAGGGGTTGTAAGACTAAATTCATTGCTCACTCAGATCCAGGGAAAGTTGCTAATGAGTTAGTAGATAAATGGGCAAGTGCTGCTGGTATGGAGTCCTTACCTGCAGACACGAGAGTCACCATTGAGTCATGGGAAAATATTAGAAATGGAGTAACTTTATGTGCCTTAAATACAAGATCTATAGCATGCACTGAGATAACCCACGATGAGCTACTGGATGCTATAAAAAGTGGCAGCTCCACTGCTCCGGGAAAAGATGGAGTAACGTATGACATACTTAATTATTTAGCCGGTATGAAACCTAATCCCTTACTTGATTTGTTTAATATGAGTTATAGAGAGGGAAAGTTACCAAGAAAATGGAAAGAGGCTGTCATCATTCCTATCCCTAAGTCAAACGGAGGCTACAGACCTGTCTCCTTAATATCCTGCTTTTGTAAAATGATGGAAAGGATTTTGTTAAATAGGCTACTCTACCTTGTAGGTGATAACATGTCCAATAATCTCTTTGGTTTTATCAAAGGCAAAAGTACTGCGGATTGTCTCTTAAAGTGTTTGTCTAATGTAGATGACAATTGTAGAGTTTTTGTTGATCTACAAGGAGCGTTTGATAAAGCCAATGGGGAAGTAATCTTATACGAATTAGCCAATCTGGGAATAACAGGGAGATTGCTACACTGGATAAGGGATTACCTGCAAGGCAGAAAAGGTCAGGTGTATTACCAGGGATACATGTCTGAGGAACGGAGGTTTCAGTTAGGTACCCCACAAGGGGGAGTATTAAGTCCCACCTTATTCAATGTATTAATGAACAGATTAGCATCAGAGATGTATCCTCCAGGGGTCACGACGATCATATATGCTGATGACATTCTTATACAAGGCACTTCTGGGAACAAAATTCAAGATGCTCTTAACATACTTGGTACAACCTGTCACAAGTTAGGCTTAGTTATAAATGCAGATAAAACCAAATACGAGTATAGGAAACGAAGAAATATAACACTTACTCTAAATGGTGTGGAACTGAGCCGTGTACAGAAGTACAAGTATCTGGGCATGTATGTTGGATACACATGTGAGAGTAAAAATGCTGAAATAAATCATATCAGCACCTTATGTAAAGCCCGTCTGCATCCTCTAAAAGCACTGGCTTTTTCTGGTAAAGGTGTTGGGGTACCTATCTTGCGGATGTTATACATAAGCACTGTTCGATCCCTGATAGACTACGCAGCACCCGTATTGTCTTACACAGGCCAAGGCAGAATTCAAAAAATAGAGCTGATACAGAACGAGGCTATGAGGATTATTCTTGGATGTCAAAGAAATGCAATGATTGAAATAATGAGAATGGAATTAAATTTACAGAGTGTGTGTGATAGAGTCCGTGACATTAACACTAGAGTATCTATTCGTTTCATGCGGAGAAAAGGAGGGGATAAGCTGTTTGAGAGCGTTCAGACCTGCTTGAGTGACGTACACACTTCCAGGAAACTGAGGGAGACTCGCTATACGAGAGGATTAGCTCATGACCTCAGGGAATACGACGTACTTGACTGCTGTAAACCCTCTCGAAAGTGTAATATGTCTGCTCCCTGGAAAGTACAGAAAATAGACGTCGAAATTGTACCCCTCAAGGTGAAAAAGATTCATCATGAACCGGGACAATTACGGTGTTTGTATGGAAGCATGATATCTCGGTTACCAAGAGGCAACAGTTTACATGTATATTGCGACGGGTCGGTGGCGGAGGATGGCAGGGCAGGGTGTGGTGTCCTAATAAGGGATTATACGGAGTTTGGGACTGTGGACAGGATAATTGAACTCCGGCTTAGTAATTATATATCATCCACACAAGCTGAACTGCAGGCCATTCTGGCGTGTTTGGAGGAAGTACGTCATGACGACAAAAATGTTTTTGTATTTGTCGATAGCCGAGGAGCACTGGAGTCCTTAAACAGTAGAAACCCAGTCTTCATGTCTATAGTGGAGGACTGTAAGAGAAGAATAACTGAGATACAGCTGAAAGGTTATAGTGTGAAATTCATGTGGATTCCATCTCATGTTGGAATAGTGCTTGTGAGTCAAAACACCCATTTCACTTATGGTAAAAGGAGAAATGCTTGGAGTGACTCTGTGTACATGCGGCTCAGGCTTGGGTACAAATATTACTGGGAATATGGGATAGATGTTCATGGTAATGACACGAAGTGTAAACTATGTGGTATGTTAAGGTCTCACACCCTTGCCCATTATATTCTTGATTGTCCGTTGATTAGTGTATATAGAAACACTGAGATAAGGACTGTTACTGAACAAATAGCCTGGATGTGTCACAACGGAAAGGTTGATGATATTCTTGAGAGATATAAGAATTTTGCACCAAGACTGTAATATTTTGTTGAATTATCTGCAGGTGTCTTGCAAATTGTCTATACAGTATACCTAGGTCATAAAAGTATTTGTGTGTACGTCTGATACCATACTCCTTGTGAGGGAGGAAATGTATATTTTTACCTCTCAGAATGTGTGGTAATGTGTTTATTTGTGATGTGTGTCTATGTATATATTAACACGTTGTACTGAACGGGGTGAGAATAGCTTGAGCTACCTCATCCCTTTGTGTGTATTTTACCTCAATAAACTTATTTCAATTTCAATTTCAATATTACTGATATAAATAATTATTTACCATTTTAATGTTTGATTTTTGTCTTGGAATGTTCATGAACTGGTGTTGAATTAATTAATTACAAAATATTCTTCTTCTAGTGGTAATGTTCTTCACCCTCTCGTTGTGATATTCTTACAACGAGAGGGTGAAGAACATTATCGCTAGAAGCTGAAGGTCTTGTAATTAATTAATTCAATACCATTTCTTCATATTTTTCACATTCATGTGATAATATTCTTCACATTCATGTGATAATATTCTTCACATTCATGTGATAATATTCTTCACATTCATGTGATAATATTCTTCACATTCATGTGATAATATTCTTCACATTCATGTGATAATATTCTTCACATTCATATGATAATATTCTTCACATTCATGTGATAATTTTCTTCACATTCATGTGATAATTTTCTTCACATTCATGTGATAATTTTCTTCACATTCATATGATAATACTCTTCACTTTCCCTCGGTAATATTACTTTCTCATGGTAACATGCTTAATATGTGTGCAAACATATTCCTTTCAAGACCATAATACTCCATACTTATCAAGACCACAAAACCCATATTCTCATTCCCATAAAGACCAAAATACCCATCTCATTCCAATCGAGAAGTCAATACCCACCTTTTTCCCTTAAGACCAAAATACTTACCTCTTAATACCATCAATACAACAATACCTAAGTCACTCATTCCATCTTAATATCACATTTATCCTTTATCTCTTTTCCAGGGAATCAAGACACTAACGCAGCCAATGGAAATGTCAAAATTTGGGTGGTTTGACGTGCTCACGGCCCTCCTCTCTATGGGCATGTTCTACTTCGACGTTACGTCCGATGTTCTCGTGGCCTACTACATGTACAATGACGAGGCAACCCATGATTGGTTCCTCACCACCGTTCTGCTGCTAGGTGAGGCTGCATGTGCTTTAGGGCAGTGGGAAACATGGGAAGGGGAAGCTTAGAGTTTGGGAGAAATGTGAAGCATATGATAAAATGTAGGAACCAAGAGAAGGAAGAAGTATGAAAAGGATGTACTTCCAATAGCAACGTGTCTAGCAACAACTCTGAGACAGGATGCAAATTGGAGAGAAGACTTTGATGAATTAAGAGTAGTAGTACAGTAATTAACAGTGGGGGAAGTGGAGAGGCCAGCAGAGGAGTGGAGGGACCAGCAGAGGAGTGGAGGGACCAGCAGAGGAGTGGAGGGACCAGCAGAGGAGTGGAGAAACCACTCCTCTGCTGGACTCTCCTCAAAATTTGCATATCCAATACAATGATGGGCACTTTGAACACAGTATTTCATAAAGTAATTAATTGATTTAATAAACATATGCAAGCATGTAATGTCAAGCTTTAATCATACCGATTTTAAAGTTTTATGATGCATATCCTAAACATACTGTATAGCTATCTTTCAGCATTTTTTTAATAAAATTAAATCACCCTATGCAGTGTTGGTTTGTAAAATACAATACAGTACCTGTATATGATATTTAACCACAAACAGTTGTTGTAACAATAGGAAAAATACTTAAATGCATTTTCATTATTAGATTAGATTTTTTATTCAGGTAAAGGTACTTACATTGAAGATAAGTTACAAACATAATGTTGGATTTAAAGATAGAGCTAGTACATTCAATACCTAAAGTCACTAATATGCATAATGTTTCAGACAAGGTGTGGGGGGAAAAAAACACATGAACTAAAACTTAATAGTAATTGAGCTTAAAGTATAAATTGAGTTGAAAAAAGGAATAAAAAAAGGGGGGGAACATGGCAGAAAATAGCAATTATACAAGTTGGTTGGTCAAGTTATGTAAGCTATGGTAATTGCTTAAATCAGTACTTTTTAAAAACTATATTTTAAGTGTAATTGAAAATGCACTAAGAATAGTGAATAATGTGTGAATTAAACTCATTGTACTTTTTTCAGTCATACCTCTGGTGGTGGTAAATGGATTCAGCTTGTACTGGTATTGGTTCGACGAGAACGTGTGCGAGTCTGAAGGAATGTGTTACAAGTTACCTAAATCCTCACCCTGCTTATGGGCATTTAGAATTATTGCTCACATCCTTCTGCAGTCTAGCATCCTCAGGTTAGTGAGGAATTCTTTTATATAAATGTCATTAGCAAATAGATTAGAATTTTTTTTAAATTATTGAATTACAGTATAGCTAATTGGTTAATAGCTTTTATGACAATTTGTCATTAGACAATGCCTCCTCTTTCTTGGTGGGCCCCCTTCAGTATCTCCCCCAAGCTAAGCACTAGTACAGCCATCCTTTGGGAAGATTCACCAGGCCTCTGAGGTTCACCTTTGACTACTGGGAGCCAGCACCAGAATCCAGTGCTATAAGTTAAGGGGAACCTTGGGGATCAAAGATCAACCCAAAGCAGATAAATGAAAACCACCAGAAAGCATAAGTAAAACTAAACAAGCATCTAGCAGAAGAAAATTAGATACCCTTTGATAGCAAGGCAAGCAATTGTTGCTGCAAGTAATTTATATTATAAGGTAGCAGCTCACATTATCCATGGTTGCAGCCAGCTTACCCCCCCCCCCCTTTCACTCACTCACATGATGACAATATAGGAAGCATGGGACCCCCCCTGACAGGGTCAATCCTCTGCTTCATGCTTTCAGCTAAGTGGCTTTGGCTATTCCTGGAATATTAGTTCCACTGGAAGCCAATGCTTTGCTAATACAGTATTTCCTTTCTCTTTTACAATTGTGTTTTCTGCTCGCCCATATTATAATTTATTTATTTATTATTTATATACAAGAAAGTACAGTGGGTTATGAAAGTACATACATGAGTGATTAAGTAGCACATTCTTGCAAAGCCATTAACATGAATGGCATTTTGGGCAGGTCCTTAAGCTAACCCATATATATAATTATTGGTACCTTGTACCGCACCTAACAGCTGGGTGGACAGCGCTTCGGATTCATAGTCCTGAGGTTCCGGGTTTGATCCCCGGTGGAGGCGGAGACAAATGGACAAAAATGTTTTTCACCCTGATGCCCTGTTATCTAGCAGTAAATAAGTACTTGGGAGTTAGACAGCTGCTACGGGCTGCTTCCTGGGGGTGTGTAACAAAAAGGAGGCCTGGTCGAGGACCGGGCTGCAGGGACACTAAGCCCCGAAATCATCTCAAGATAACCTCAAGATTGTAACAGAATTTGAATTCGCATACTGTAATAACTATCCGATCATAAATTGATAAAATAAATAATACTGATGAAGTTGCATCTCTACATTTTAATATACTAGATGAGAGGGTAACACAAAATACTGTACTGAGTGTTAGTAGCGCAAAGAAGATACTATGATGATAATTCATATGACATCATATGATATGATATGACATCATATGACAAATATGACATCATCATATGACAAATTCATATGATATCAAATTCATATGATATCATCATATGACAAATTCATATGATAATTCACGTATGACATCATCATACTATGATGATGTCAACAATGTTCCCCCCTCCTTTACCTCTATTTTTATTTGTACTCAACGCATTTTTTTCTTTTTACCCATTAGTTTTAAGCTTTAGTCATTAGTGTTTTTTCCTGCCCGAAACGCTTTGCGTAATAGTGGCTTTAGGCATTGTATGTACTAGCTCTATCTATAAAGCCAACAAACTTTGTAAAATCTCTTTATGTATGTACCTTTACCTAAATAAAAATTATTATTATTATTATTATTATTATAATTATTAAGTACTGTACTTCATTGTTCTACTTTTGAATGAAGTATTGGTCACCTCTAGTTTCTCCTCATAACTTGTTTTTCAGTTCCAGAAGCCATTTTGTAGCATGCCTTTGCACCTTTTACATTTTCTTTATGTGCTGCTTGAGATTTGGGCACCATACAACTGCTACATATTCCAATTTTGGTCTCACAAAACTCATGAACAGTTTCTTTAGTATTTCACCATCCATATAATTAAAAACAAAACTGGAGTTGTAAGCATCTCACAATGTTCTTTATGTGTTCCTCTGGCAACAGCTTACTATCTAAAACCACCCCTGTGTCTCGTTCTTTATTAGAGTTCTGTAATTCCTTTCCACATAATTTGTAAGTTGTGTGGTATTTTATCTGATTCCATATTCCATAACATGACATTTATTCACATTGAATTCCATTTGCCACTTTACGCTCCAGGCACTTATTTTATCTACAGCGATTTGAAGGACATTACAATCGTCTGAGTCTCCTATTTTCCCTAGTATCTTAGCATCATCCACAAACATGTTCAAATCTCTCTGTATTCCTTCTGGTAGATCGCTTATGTAGACAATGAACATTACTAGTGCAAGAACTGAACCCTGTGGTACTCCACTAGTAACACTCCTCCTGTCTGATATATTGTCTCTGATTACCATCCTCATCTGTCTGTCAATTAGAAAATTTTTCATCCATGTCAGAAGTCTCCCTGTCACTCCTCTAGCATGTCCCAGTTTCCAGAACAGCCTCTTGTGTGGGACTCTCAAAAGCCTTTTTTAGGTCCAGATAGACACAGTCAACCCAACCACCTCTTTCTGTATTATCTCCGTGTGGCTCTATCATAAAAACTAAGTAGATTTGTTACACAGGACCTTTCTGTTCAAAAACTGCACAGTCTGTCTGTTATTATGTCATTACTCCCTAGGTGTTCAAACCATTTGGCTTTAACTATTGTTTTTAGTGTTTTGACTACCACACTTGTTAATTATACGGGTCTAAAATTTAGAGGTTCCTCTCGATTACCATTTTTATAAATTGGCACTATACTATGTTTGCCTTTTTCCATATATCTGCTAAGACTCCTGTGCACAAGGCTGTCTGGAATATTAATTGGAGTGGAATGCTCAGCTCAGTTGCACATTCTCGCAGCACTTAAGGTGAAACGCCATCAGGTCCCACTGCTTTATTTCTTCCTATCCCCAGGAGTAATTTTTCCACTTTGTCTCAAGATATCTCTATGTATTCTATAATGTGCTCTGGAATTGGCATTGGGTCCGGTTCTATGAAATCCTCATTTTGTACAAACATACTTTGGAACTGTTCATGAACTCATGTTCATGGGTTCATATGCTGGTGTTTTCAGTTCCCCCTTTTATATTTCATTCTATATGGTGATGTAGTAACAGGGAAACCAACAATGGAGCCCTCCCAGAAAACCAAATTTGATTGTAATGAAACGTTACTTTTTGGTGGGTCGGCAGTGAGTCCTTGGACCCCTCTGTTTCCCTTTCAGTTTGCCTTTGGGTCAGCTCATGACTGAAAAGGTTCACTGGCTGAGCCAGTAGCCTGGTGCAATTTGATATACATGGAGTCATCAAAGACCCATCAGAAAAAGGCATTTCATTACAATCAACACTTTTTTTTTTTTATTGTTATTACATCAAGACTGGGAATTTTGGTTATATCCTGGGAAGAACTGGCCATTGCTAAAGGGGTTGCCCAAGTGGCTTGATCAGAAAGGACCTTTTCATCTACACACAAATAGTTAATTTTTATTGCACCCAACTATACAAATAATAGAAATTCCTGTTTTGTATATTTTTGAGGTGATATGTATTTGATATGTATTGGTGTTTTATTAGTCCTGAGTATTGAGTGTTTTCCAGAGAATGACAAATAATTTTCTGCTCATTTTTCTCCCTGATATTAGGTCCTTGGATGTGATATATTATGGGATTCAGAGTGTAAGAAAAGGAACATTGGTGCCGAGCCGTGATCACAATCATCACCAAAGAAATATGATGGTCAATGTTGACGAAAACAAGCTCGGAGAGGGCAGCAGAGAAGCTACAAATGGTGAACAAGAATTTTTGAGCTTATAGTGATTGAATGTCAATATATGTATGGTGGAAAGTGATATGTGGCATGTGGATAGAATTAGGAAAATTGGAGTTTGTAAAAAATTGTAGAATATAAGGTGGAAGGATAACAAGTATGTGTGTGTGTGAGTATCTTAAACACATGAATACTGGTATGTATGTTTGACGAGTATAGGTTGGGTGAATGTTTTTCTCAAGTCACTTATTGATGTGTATCAAGAGATGGCCTTTTGGAGGGATAAGTAGGTACATGCATTGAGTTATGGAATTTTTATATTAAATTAACATTATGTTAACACCAAAGTACAAGTGTAGCTGTACAGTAATTATGTTTAGAGCACATACACAGACCATAGGGTACATACACAGACCTTTCAAGTGTGATGTTATGAAATTAAAAATATAACAAATATGTTGTATGAGAATGTCAGTGGATTAGTATTTTGAACACATCTTCTAATCCCTGTGTGTATTTGCTAGTTATAGTGTAGATTTAAATTAAATCACTTAAATTACTTAATCCAACTAAAAGTTTCAAAAATGCAAAACTTAAATATCTATCTCTCTAGGAATTTAATATTTCAATAATGTAGCTGTTGTTTCATGTTAATCCACATTAAAGTGTTGTCACTTATACCCCTGCAGCATGTTCCCTGAGGCGTCCTTACCGTGAGCTGTGGGTCCATGCAGAAAGAGATGCTGCAAATGTGGACGTGTTGTCGTCGTTGCTGCAAGATGCGCCCCAGCTCATCTTGCAGCTTTATATTATGACACACACCATCCCTTCTCAAGCACTGGAGGGCGAGATCAGCCAGACATGTTAGTCTCGTGTGCCTTGTCCATCTTTGTTGGGTTGTCCTTTCATCAACTTTTTAGATTCTCATTTTATTGACCTTTACATGTACAAATGAACCATAATATGTAAATTTAAGGATTCATTTTATTTAAGGAGATTTTGTTCTGCTAATTACTTTGTTTTAAATTGGCTTTAAAAAGTAAACAATGTTTTAGGCAAGTCTTAAAGCTTACAAATTAGTTAGGTATTCATTATTATGATTATTATTCTTTAGATGTAAATACTTTAGAGTTGCTAAATATTTACTACAAAATGTATTAAATTTTAAAGTAGAGTTTTGCAATTTAGAGGCATATGCTAAGGAACTTGGCTATTATTATTTAAAGAAGCTTCTATTACCTTTCTCTGGCAGTGATGATGCAGCTGTTGTCAGTAGGAGCTTCATTGGTAGCTATGGCACTGTCTGTGGCATCCTTCTCAAAGGCAACACGCCTGGCTGAACCCTCCATAGGAAACCTGAGCCCTGCAGGTCTGCTTCTCCTCTCCTTATCGCACTTCTGCTCCATTGCCCCTCAGGTAAGTACTGTACAGTACGAAATGGCTACAAATGATAGAAAAGACCATTACTGTTGCAGTGTCAGCTGAATCACTGTATAATTAGGTGCCGTCATTTAAATACTAAGATCTGTGTTGTCTCAGTTAGGCAAATTAACAATTCCACATTACAGTAATATTACATGTATTCAGATTTGGTTTATACTGTACATATCTTACTGACTTTCCATATATTCTTTGGATTTGGTTTTAAGTTTTAAGTTGAAGATTAATATATAATACTGTATTAGATTCAGTCTGTTTCTTTTTACATTACAACCTACCTATTGCTTGGTTCTAGTGCACAGATTTACAAGAATACTGAGGTACACAAAAGTATTTGCAGTGTCCTTGATGCATCCCATCTTCCTAAGGTTTCCTAACATCAAGTAAACATTCAATTTAAAGTGTCCTCTCCTCGCCAGAAAATGGTGACAGTACTGTACTTCACTTTCGCGAGCCATTTCCATTTTCTAGTATGACAATTTTTGGCCTTATGTAATGCTTACGAGTGAAATGTGATGTTCTTTGTAAGAGGACAGGTTGCTTGACGAGTCATTGCCAAGGCTAAGGAAAGTTTCTGAGGAGGTCTTTTTCAAAAAAACTCTGCCAACTCTTGCTTGGTGAACTATGCCCCAAACTTAGCAAATTTTGGTGTTAAATGACCATCTTATAGAAAGCAATTTTTGTATTTTTCTAAACTTGTGAAAAGCAAGGGTTTGCTTGACAAACATATCTTCTTTAGTGCTGCCAATTACAGTGCCGATTCATTATAAAAGTTTGTTCTGAAAAATGTGTTTTCTAAAATAGTAATAATTATAATCCATTACAGTATAGTGAACACTGTGTGTAGAGTGGTATTGTGTGTAAAGTGAGTTTGAATACACACTCAAACCAATGAAATGCATTTACCAAGTCCCTCTATTTGTCAGTTAATGGCAAGTTGTGTCTTAGATGCAGCTTGTTTATGTACTTGGGCATCACACTACAGTGCTTTTGTAGTTCCTGGATGTTATTGATAGGAAATCTTAAGTGTGTTCTCTTGATAATTACCTTACCTAGTAGGAAAGCTTGTGTTCTTCTCTATCTTTTTGGAAGAAGATTATTGAGGCCTTTGTTCTTGCTGTCTTGATTGATGTGTCATTCCTTGCCTGCTTCTTCTGCTAGTTTGGCACAGTAGTTGAAATTGAAATAAGTTTATTGAGGTAAAATACACACAAAGGGATGAGGTAGCTCAAGCTATTCTCACCCCGTTCAGTACATCGTGTTAATACATACATATACACACATCAAAAACAATAAACATATTACCAAACATTCTGAGAGATAAACATCTACATTTCCTAAACATTATTGCCAACAGCATTTGGTGTTCCTAGGCGGTCACCCATCCAAGTACTAACCAAACCCAACGTTGCTTAACTTCGCTGATCGGACGAGAAGCAATGTTCTCAACGTGGTATGGCCGTTGGCCACAGTAGTTGTATTGCTTGTTAGAGCACCTCTCATTCAGCTTCTCAGCCTCCTCTGCTAGTTATCTAAATGACTCCTGGCTCTCAGTGCCACAGGCACAAGTGATGTGCCCGATGAAGGAACCAATTCTTCCTGTGCAGCCCATTTATTGGGCTCTATTCTGATGATAGGTCCTGGCGCTGGTCCTCTTGTCTTGGTCCGGTGATGGGTGTCAACTTTTTGTTTTGTTTAGGTTCCTAAAGCACAGCACCTTGGTTGACATTTAACCAATCCTAGCCTAGGCACTTGGTCAGAGGGCATATTTTTAAAGTTGAGGAGATATTATATCCATCATCTGAGTTAGAAGTAGATTTCGACTCTTGATAATTTAGGGTGCATTTCTGTGTTACCTTTGATAAAACAGAAATACCTCGGTTGTGCAGATTTACTCAAAACCATTTCTTGCGGGCAAGCGAGGCAATTTTTTCAATTATTGCTGTGAGGTCATGACAACGTGTCTGATCTGGATTTTTATTTGATTGAATCTGAAGCCTCTGCTGCTTATGATTACCAGACTATCTTTTTAATAATTATTATTCTGAAAGTCGCATCATTTCTGTAGTCATTCAGCTTTGAAATTGAAGGATGTCCCCCCCAATTTTCAATGTCCTTCTTTTAGAGGCTTCCTTAGATGTCTTGAATCTGGCATTGTATGCACCTCCCTTACCCCTTGATGTTGGTTCACCTCCCTGTATTTAGTTCTTGGCAGCTTTAACTTTAGGTCCACCTTTTGTTTCCAACAGAAAGGCAGATTTGGTGCACGAGTGTGTGATTAACTGTTAATATCACATGAGAAATTGTAAGGAATAAGGCTAATTGGAATGAGATTGTAAGGATAGAGTGAATTTTTTAACATATTTAAGTGACAGTTTATAGAAAAGTATCAATTTTGTTGTATGACATTGTTGGGTGCTACTGTATATTGCTGGAGGTGAGGAAGATGCAGGATTTTTTTTTTTTTTTTTTTGGAGGGGAGGGCATGGGGGAAGGACCCGTGGCCCGGTCCTCGACCAGGCCTCCTCATTGCTGGACTGATCAACCAGGCTGTTGGATACGGCTGCTCGCAGCCTGACATGTGAATCACAGCCTGGTTGATCAGGTATTCTTTAGAGGTGTTTACCAAGTTCTCTTGAACACTGTGAGGGGTCAGCCAGTTATACACCTTATGTGTATTGGAAGCGTGTTGAACAGTCTCGGGCCTCTGATGTTGATAGAGTTCTCTCTCAGAGTACCTGTTGCACCTCAGCCTTTCAACGGGGGTATTCTGCACATCCTGCCATGCCTTCTGGTCTCATTTGGTGTTTTTTCTGTGTGCAGGTTTGGGACCAGCCCCTCTACTATTTTCCATGTGTAAATTATTATGTATCTCTCCCACCTGCACTCAAGAGAATACAGATTTAGGCATTTTAATCAGTCCCAATAGTTTAGATGTTTTACCGAGTGGATTCTATCAGTAATGGATCTCTGCACACTCTCCAGGTTAGCAATTTCTTCAACTTTTAAAGAGGCTGTCATTGTGCAACAGTTCTTGCACTCTAGATAACACCAGCATGTTTAAAAGTATCATCATTGGCATCTTTGATATAGCATCTCTAGTTTGAAAGGTTCTTGTTATCCAACCTGTCATTTTTCTTGCAGTTGTGATGGCTACTTTGTGTTCCTCAAAGGTGATTTGTACATTTTGTTCATAATACTAACAAAATTAATGTACAAAACATTTATTAAATTAAGGTGACCTTTACTTTTGCAGGTTCTGTGTTTTGCGCTCTTTGCTGGGAAGTACCTGATTGTTTTCCTGGTGTTGGTGTCGTGCCACTGGCTAGCCACCAGTATTCTTGTGCTTATCCAGGTAAGTCCTACATATTGCTGCATCTTGTGTTTTTATGGTATGGTAGTGCCAACAAAATTACTTCCTGATATTTAGTTAAATTGGAACTAGATGTCATCACATTAAAGATAGTCATAGACAAATTTAGAATTAAGGTGGATACTTAACTGCAGTGCTTTGTGCATTATATTTTTGTATACGAGAGTGAGCATAATGATCTGCATTGGAAAGGGTAGCCATTCAGCACTTTGTGCAATGCAACCTGTGTAACAGCAAATAGAAAAAAACATGTAATATTGTATTTTAATATTGTTCCCATGAAATTGCAAGAGACTCTGTATTGTATGTTTAGACCATATCATCTTGTACAGGAATACTACAAAATACAAGTACAGTACAATTTAAAATATTTATGTGCATCCTTAAAGGCTTGGGGCTTTGGGACTCGGTAGTCATAATGTTAACATGTTATCTATAGCCACTTTCTCTTTATTCCTAATAGCTCTTGTGCTGCGCAAATCCACTTCGTATAGGATCCATCTTCACTCACGACATTAGAAAAGGTCCATGCAACCGGCTGGATGATATAGCCTTCAGTGCTGTGTTTGGAATGATTTTGCTCTACACATTTGTGAATGTAGGTGGGAAGGCTCCTAAGATCCAGGCCGGAGTGTACCACTTCCTTAGACTCGTGGAGGAGGCATGTATGCTGGCATTTTGGTGAGTATATTGCCTCAAGGGCACGAGAGATAATGTTTGTACATATTAAGATACAGTCCATACAAATCGCTTCAGTTACCCATAGATTTATTACTATGGAAATAATTGCAAGAAAGCATGCACTGCTTTATATCTTAAATTATATCTTATATTATATTATATCTTTATATAATATATTATATCTTATATTGGTAAGACCAACACATGTAACCTTTTAGTCATTTCTTTGTACTGTTTCTGTTTATCTTGAATTTATTGAGATATTATTATTACTATACCTGGATAATTATATTTGGGTGCAAAGGTGTCTTTTGAACTTCAAATTTTAAAGTTAAAATGATCTTAAGATCTTGTGAAAAATAACTCTTGTGCAAGTTGTTTAATGTAAAAGTATTGTAAAAGTTATATATGAAAAAGGTACTTACTGTTCTCAACATGATTCATCTAAACAAATGTATGATGATGCTGCTGCTCTTAAAATTGTCATGATCGCTCATGGAGTAACCCGATGGATAAAATTGACAGGGCTAAACCTCAGCTTAACTTCAATGTCTCATGTTTGCTGGCAAAATATTGATGTCAAGTTTTTTTTTTATTATTTGTCAACGTCTTATAGGCTGTGGTCCTTTGTGGCTCTATATCTCCATATTTACCTGAAGACCACTGTCTCCCTAGTTGCCTCGACGAGACAGGAAGCCGACAGCTCATCAAAGGTTCCTTGATTGTTCCTGAGGATTTTTTCTATCTGGATTCTAAAGTGAAATTATGTCTTGGCATTTATTAGCTTCAGTGGGTAGATATATCCATGGGTGGAACATATGTTTTATCTCCTACAGTGTGGCTTGTTGAGCTTTTTAGCTGTTGCTTCCTGTATGTGTTACATCTGCTTTCGAGAAAGTTCAACACTCGGCAACAAAAATCATTCCAGAACTAAGTTGACTCTCATACCAGGAATGATTGAAAGCCATAGGGCTAACAGCACTGCAAGCCAAACATGACAGGGCTGATCTCAATGAAACTTTTAAAATACCGAACAATTTGGAGGATATTGATCCCAGGCAACTTCTTCAAAAGGTCAAATGTAACACCAACAAGGAGCAACATTTCCAAGCTCAACAAGTCAGAATGTAGGACAGAAAAGAGGAGATGCTTTTTCACCCATAGGAACCTATGGGTTCCACCATAGGTTTCACCTATGGAACTACCTACCCGCCGAAGCCATAAATGCCAAACACTACGAAATGTTAAAAGCCAGCTCAATAAAATCAAGACAAAGGAAGAGGGGGGGGACTTTAACAAGTCACCGGCTTCCTGTCCTTGTCGAGGTCACTAGCAAGATAGTGGCCCTCAGGAAAATCTGACCTTCTAATAAAGTGTTCAATATGTTAGATTGGGTAAATCTAACGTCACAAGCTGGGAGCCGGTCGGCTGAGCGGACAGCACGCTGGACTTGTGATCCTGTGGTCCTGGGTTTGATCCCAGGCACCGGCGAGAAACAATGGGCAGAGTTTCTTTCACCATATGCCCCTGTTACCTAGCAGTAAAATAGGTACCTGGGTGTTAGTCAGCAGTCCCAGGCTGCTTCCTGGGGGTGGAGGCCTGGTCGAGGAATGAGCCGCGGGGACACTAAAAAAAAAAAAGCCCCGAAATCATCTCAAGATAACCTCAAGAAGCTGAAGGAGATCAATTTCTAGACCTGGTGCAGGACTCATTTCTCACACATGTGCTTGAGCCCACTCGAGGTAACAGCATTCGGGACCTTGTGCTAACATCAGAAGAGGGTATGATAGACCCTCTCTATATCATAGATAGTATGATAGATAGATAGATAGATAGATGATTCAAGTAGGAGAAAAGCTCACCCTATCGTGTGATCACCATATTCTAAGATGGAATACAATTACAGAAACTCTCGTGAAGGTCCAGGATGATGACCTTTTAGATTACCATCGAGGAAACTATCAGGGAATGAAAGAGGAATTGCAAAACACCTCATGGTGGGAACTGATAGGTGATCAGGGCATGGAATTATCATGGGAAAATTTTTAAAAAGGTCATTACTGAACTCATACAAAGATGTGTGCCAAAAAAACAGAAAGAAAAGAAAAGGAACAAGATGGATGACACAAGTAGTAAAAACAGCACGAATAACTAAACGAAACCAATGGAGATGGTATAAATCAACGATGAACATCATGGATTATGAGATACTGTATATAAAAGGGGCATTAAATTCAGCCACTCAGGAAATCAGATTAGCAAAAAGAAATTACGAAGGTAATATAAAGGAAGACCCAAAATATAAAGGAAGATCCAAAATCATTCTGTGCCTATTTACATAGTAAACCCAAAACAAAGGACTGTGTAGGATCCCTAAAAGATGAGACTTTATCATCCAAGTTATGTTGGATGATAGAAGGGCAGCAAACATTCTGAATGAATATTTTACATCAGTGTTCACACTAGAAAGATTGAACGACATCCCATCACCCACACAAATGTTTTAAAGAGGTGAGAATGAATTAAGGGATATACCCATTACATGACACAATCAGGAAGAGCATTGACAAACTAAAATACTCAAGAGCCCCAGGTGTAGATGGAGTTCAATCCAAAGTCGTGTGGGAACTGGCAAAAGCACTATGCATACCACTGAAACTCCTTTTCAGAAAATCCCTGGACCAAGGATTAGTTCTGGATTGTAAATATGCAAATGTTACCCCCATTTTCAAAAAAGGCAGAAAGAGCTCGACAGAAAACAAGCTGATGTGTGATCAGCTCGACATCACACATCTGCAAGCTCATGGAAGGAATCATACAACATCTCAGAGAACAATCTTGTAAAATCATTTTGGACGAAACCAATATGGTGGTACCTCTGTTTTCGAATTTAATCTGTTCCGAGAGATAGTTTGTAAGTTGTATCCAGTTCTCCTCACCATCCATCCATCCATCCAGTTCCCCACCATCCATCCATCCAGTCACCTCACCATCCATCCATCCATCCATCCAGTCACCTCACCATCCATCCGTCCATCCAGTCCCCTCATCATCCATCCAGTCCCCCCCCCCCCACCATCCATCCAGTACCCCCATCATCCATCCTGTTGTCCTCCCGAATACAATATTCAAGCGTGATCATCACTAGGTGGGAGACACTGGTAAACTGAAGTGTGGTTGCCCATGCCACCAGGAACTACTCGCTCGGTCAACCCATACGTGTATCAACAAACTCGCCAAGCGAGGCAAAGCTCGTATACCGAGTTGAATTTTACAAAGAAATTGAGCTCGTAAACCAAAAAATTCATAAAGAGGGGCATTTGTTAACCAAGGTTCCAATGTATATTGTATTATAGAGGTTCGAGTTATGGAAAAATTGGCAAGGAATAAAGCCTGGTACTCCATGTCCTAAAAATAAATGCTTACCTGAAATACAGCATTTCTCAATAGTAGTACTGTATATCCATGGTAGATGAAGCTACCTAGTATCAAAATTAGCAAACCTGGACATTGGAATGCACTTAAATTAATGTTCAGTATTAACTTATAACTTATTACTAGAAATTTGTCACTTCACATATTTAGCATTTTTTTTGTTTGGTAGAACGTGCCAAGTCTTAATTTTTTAATCTTGCATAATACTTTTGGTGTGAACGTGATTTAAGTTCCTGAACTTTGTTTGAGTGTCATGTGTTAATGATGTATTATTTTTCAGGTACTTGACAACAGAAGGCAACCTTTGGTATCACTGGCTACCGCTGGTGCTGGTGTCTCTCCTGTGTGTGCTGGGCATTGTGTTCTTCTCCCTCTACTACTTTTGTGCCAACCCAGACCATCGCTACAAAAAACAGCTTGCTGTGTGATATTATGTTTACTTACACAAAGTATTAGAACATTTGACAAATTAAGGCTAGTGTAAATATTACAGGAGTAGTGAAATGCCAATTTGTAGTTAAACTAAACTAGTTAGATTACTTGGGAAGGACCCCAATGAAACTAGGCTGGTCACGATACTACTGAAATGTGAGAATGTGGAACTGTCATTATTAGTTAATAATATCGTTTAGCTAATCTGCAGACAAGCCTAAAATCTAATTTTGGGATACCATGATTGCATTTTTACTAAAAATACTGATTAATGGTGAACATGTTGTGATGATAATGCTTTATGCATTAGACATTTTGAAATGGGTAACTGGGTTTGCTAATGACATTCCAATTAAATGAAGTAAATGTGTTCTACGCACTGACATTTTTGTTGATAAAGACAAAAAATGTTATTGTTAAATTTGTGCTGTAAATAAGACAGCATTGTAATGAAATGTCAATTTCTGGGTGAGCCCCATTGGCTTCCTTAAGCTACTGTCACTGATAGTGTACCCACTACTAGGCTGCATCAGCTGAAGAGTTCTATAGTCCTACTAGGAATCAACACCAGAACCTGGCCCCCCCTTACAGAGGTGCAGGGAGTGGGTAGCATTTATTTATCTATGGTATCATCGGGGAAGCAACCCAAAGTCAGCAAGACAACTGCAATGTCAAGAACCAGTCTCCGTGGTAAGACACTCGCCTGGCGTTCAGCGAGCGCTTTATCATGGGTTCATATCCTGGCCGGGGAGGATTTACTGGGCGCAAATCCTTAACTGTAGCCTCTGTTTAACTCAACAGTAAAATGGGTATTTTGCTGTAAAAACGATTCTTCGTGGGGGTCGTATTCCAGGGACCTGCCTGAAATGCTACGCTTACTCGTGGCTGTACAAGAATATAACAACTCTTGTATATATCTCAAAAAAAAAAAAAAGAATAACCCCCAATTATGTAAACAAATGATCAAAATCTCTCCAAACTAGCACAAGCTTGTTTGCCCCACTTATTTGGGGAAGAGTGGTAGCACATGGTTAGCTGACTACACCACCTTCAGTTCTATGGTAGATGTAACCAAACCCCCCCAACAACCTGAAGGAAGTCAGCGAGCCACCAGGACTCGCCTAGAAATTGGTGTTTCATTACTTCCAATACTGGTTTACTGGAAGAGGGGAAAACCCTTGTGGCTCCCTATAGCTAACTACCCAGGGACCCATACCTGATTGCCAAGGATAAGAAGGTGGAGGCCAAGGGAAACCTTCAAAGGGGATGGCTGAAACTGGACAAGCAGGCTCAACTGCCTCCACGCCAATATGAAAGGGGCAACCACCAGAGCTGACCAACCCATATCCAAAGCTAAACCCTGCCCCTAACCCCAAAACCCTCATGCTTCAGGGCCTGAAGCTGGGAAAAGGAGAGGAAGGGCAAACAATGCCTGAAGTCGAAGGAAGCAGAAGTGCAGACGAGGCCAAGGTAGTGTTTACCAGCACCTCCAAGTCTTCAATACATCAAATAGGGGCAGCTCTGAGCCCTCCAATCAGGCACACAACCTGGACCGCTGCAACCTAGCAAACTGAGCATGTAAAGCGGACGCTGCTTGATAAGCCCTAGCCTCATTGAGAGGGTCAAAAAGAAGTCACATGGGGAAAACAGACTCCATAGGACTCGGGGTCGAAGGTGTCACAGACCAAACAAACAGCATGGCAGGAGGAGAAGGAATAAGTGTCGCCACATGGAATGAAAAACGTACAACCCTGAGACGAGCACAAAGAGCAGGTTTGGAGTGGATATCTTTGGAAGCAATGAACCTGCAAGGGATTTCTAGGGTCCAAAGGAATTGACCAAGCCAAACACCCAGGCACTGGGAGGTTACACCAGACTTTTAAGTGAAGGAGTCATATGATTCTATATCAAATAGGGATATAGAAACAATGAAGTAAGCCAACACAGCAGCTGATGAAATGGGTATGAAGACCTAACTCGCCGCACTATTGTGTAGCACGTGAGCCTCAAGCCAGGAAAATCTGAAGACACCTGACTCACCCTGGGTGAGAACCACCACAAGCGAGGAGGGAACACCCACAGGGAAGATAAACATGTGCACATGCAGCTCCAAGCACTCTTTATGTCCAGCCTCATGTTACACTGATACAGTGTACAGGAATGCTCAAAAAGGCAAAAACCACCATTTAGCTGTAACAGCAAAATACTGGAGCCCAAGCAGCAGAGAGGTACCCAGGCACACACTAGACATACCAGCATAGAACTGGAGGTGGTGTAGCCAGCTGACCACAAGCTCCTTCCCACCTCCCTGCCAAACAAGTGGGGAGGTAAAACAAACCAGCTTGCTCTAGTTTGGAAAAATTTGAATAATTTATTTACATAGTTGGGGGGAGTTCTTTTGGCAGTTCTTGAGGTTGTGGTCTCTAAGCCAGCAGTGTTCTGTTTTATCTCACTGACTTTCTGGCTGCTTCCCCATTGTTGGCATAAATAAATAAATGCCACCACTCCCTGCATCTCTGTGAGGTGGGGGGGGAGTCAGGCTCTGGCACTGGTCTCTGATAGGACTATAGAATTCTGCAGCTGATGTAACATAGTAGTTGATACACTATCAGTGATAGTAGCTTCAGGAAACCACAAGAGGTTCCCACCAAAAAAGTGCAATGATATTAACATGAAAGTTCAGTTTATTACTAGCAATGTTGCATATGGCATCCTGGCCTGATTAACATTAGTAACTTCAGAAAATTGGTACAGTAATATCAAACTCAAAAGAATTTGGAAATGTCATCATTTTAAAACCTGTGGTAATTCAAATTATGCTTGTTGTATCGTAGGGTTACACAGCATGCATTATCACCAGTAATAAACACTACAGCATTAAAGAACTAGTGTTATAGGCAGATTATATATTTAACAGCGTACTGTAAGGAAATTCACTCAAATACTGTATTTTTACACCCATAGACTGATTCAGTAAACAATTTGCCTGTTAACTTGCTGACCAATACAAAATTTGTGGCTGTACACATTTGCTACCTCATTTGTACTCTGGTGCTTAGTATGTTAAAAACATGCATATAAACATAACCATATATTATGTTAAACATGTTTTGGGATTCCATGCATGGTCATAATAATAAACTTAAAATTGTCTATTCTAAATTTTGGCTGAACTTGAGTGCTAAATTCTATATGACAATACATAAAAAGTAGGACTAGAGGATGGTGCTGGTGATAAAGCAAACCTGTAACACAATGTTGGCAATGTAATAGTGGATTAGACCCACAACTGCTAGTAATAAGAGGGTAAAACTTTGCTCTTAGCACAAAATGGTGGTGCTGAACAAGGTCAGATCAGGTATAGTATGTTATACCATTGTCAGGAAGTCTATCAGGCATGTTGAGGTCTCCCTAATCCACATTGTCACTGATCCAGTGCTAACTATAACCTGACTAATTAAGGGACTGCACCATGTAGGGGTGTTATGACATACAGTATTTAACATATTTTGTATATGTAGCCTACATATGCTAGGCAATTTTTTATTATATTTACTGTACAAACATTAAAGTCTAAGGATATTTGGCAATCTGAATTACCCCTCTAGTCTCATATATATTCTAAGGCTTATGAAAGTCCCTTCAAGCCAACTACTGATCTTCCCCAGGATGCAACCAATAACAATTATTTAACACCTATTTACCTGTTTACTTCAAGGTGAACATAGACATCAAGTGAGAGGAAATGTTCCCAACTGTGTCCTACAATGGGAATTGAATCTGGGAGCTTCGCTTGTAAATTGAAGATGTCGACGAGTCTACGAATTGACACAAATAGATTAAATTTAAACTTCAGCAATCAAGCACAGTCAATCATTACCCTAGATTTACACCCGGGAAGGATCTCAAATCCATATCTCCTGATGACCAGACCACACACTAGAATGTGAAGGGATGACGACGTTTCGGTCCGTCCTGGACCATTCTCAAGTCACAATCGACTTGAGAATGGTCCAGGACAGACCGAAACGTCGTCGTCCCTTCACATTCTAGTGTGTGGTCTGGTCATCATACTTTATCCACGTTATTGTGACTCATCGCCTGCATATCTTTCCTGTTAAATTTAGCCATAAAAAAAGAATTGCAAGCATTAGATTAAAACAAGTTTCATCTAATAATTGTAATATATTTTGCAATATGTGTCTTCCATGCAACTAAGGAGAAATTTGTCTGCTTTTGCCAGTTAACAATTAGATTACATTTATTTCTGGGCAGATTCCTAAGAAATTTTTAAAGACACAAATAGGGAATGCAATGAGGATTAGGCAAGTTTTGATATTTTTATTTTTTATAAAATCTGGTACAGTACAGTAGTGCAAGCAGATTCATTTAAATTGTGACATAGGAATAATCTAGATATAGGCTACACCGCTGATGATAAAAGCTCCACTTTAGTAAACTTCAGAGATAGACAACTGAAGACTGCAGACAACAATAACACAAAGATTTAAAGGTTTACATAAGTCTAAGTGAGTTATATGTATATTTAAAGATCAAATGTAACACAAGGGACAACAACTTGAGGCTCAAGAAGCCACAATGCAGGACAGAAAACAGATGCCAAGATCCTTTTCACCACATAGGGCTATAAACCTACAGAACTGCCTATCTACTGAAGCTGTAAATGCTAAGACATTACAGGAGGTTCCCATTATACCAACTCATCTATCCGAACATCAGCTCAAGTTCTTCTTCACGCATCAAATCACTAACCAAACTCGCTGGAGCGTCCCCAGTATTGCAGTGCACTAAAATATCCATACGCCAGGCATATGGTGGAGTACTACACAAAAACATCCACATGGCCCACTAGAGAAGGTGGGGTATTGTTAAATCGAACACAAGCCATTTTGACAGCTTACTTTCATTTGGTTGAGATGTATTAGCTTAGGCTTGATTGGATTAGATTAGGTTTCTTTGGGTAAGATTCGGTTAGGTAGGTTTTAAAACACATTGGCAAACCCTTGTGTGTATGACATGACTTCTATCTTTGGAGACCTATGCTAAATCGGTAAACAGTTTTCTTGTGCCCAGACTAGACAAACTACTTTCTCTGGACTTTATCAAGGAAAATCCATTAAAAATGACTGATAGGAAGAGGAAGAGTGTTGATAATGAATCAGTGCCAGAAAAAAGTGACCCATTAGCTTAAGAGACAAAGCTAGACATTGCTGTGAGAGGAGTGAAAAACAACACAAATTGCAAACATTTATGGAGTGAACCACTTGACAGTTGGGACCATCTTAAAACAATTCACAGCCAAGAGACTGGCAGATGTATTTAAGACAGCAGAAGTATTTAAGCTAGCAGATATTGCCTTGGCAGGTTTGAAGGAGCAAAAGAGCAATGCCAAGAGATATCAAAATGCCTCAAAAATAGTTTTATATTTCCTTGCACACTATAAGCAAATTGACATTAAAAAGAAGATTGTTGTACAAAATACTTTGAGAACATATTTCCCAAAAGTGTCTCCAGCCCGGCAATTGCCTCTCAAAACATTGCTCTGAAAAGCCTTGACAACCTTCAAGAAAAAGTCTGACTCAAAACCATTGACTTGTACAGCAGCTAGTGATAGTGATGATGACCCACAGGTGTTTGCCATCATCCCATCATCTCCCACATCAAAGTAGCCAGTGACACTTAAAATGTCCAGCCACCCTCTGCAACGGATGCATTGCCACCGACACATCACCTTTTCCAGCAACTCTCTCCTAACTCTGAAAATCTCTCCTAAAAAAAATTGTAGACATTAGT